TTTCGTAATGTTTCAAATTAAATTCAAATTAGAAATTAATACACATATATATGTTAAAGATATGTAATGAAATATTGTGAATTTTCACTTTTAATTTTATTTACATTTATATTTTTTTTTTGTGAATAAATATACCAATCCTTTTCCAAAGGGGACAGTATTACTCTTTACCTTACAGATGGTTTTCCTATATAATTCATCCTAGGATTCTTGATGTTGTTTAATGTCATCGCATTCGAATGGAATTGTGTCATATCTATGGACTCTTACAGACATCAGATATCGTGTTATTGACTGAGGCTCAGTAATGTTGACAAGTTGACCAAAACGTTTGTTCCTGAATTACACAGGCCAAATGTAATGATTTCAGTACTTAAATTTTCAATAGATGTCCATGATTTAAAACCATAAATTGTATGTATCCCTCGTTGGCAAAATAGTCAAGATGAGTTTTGATGCATTAACATGCGTTTTGACTATATTGTTTAATTTCATATAAACAAAAGCAATTTATTTATCATTTCATATTGTTTTATTCATCGAGAAAAAACTTAACAAAGTATGACACCATCGGACATATATATATTAGATATGTTGCCATGGATATCAGATGTAAAAAAGGTACATCAATATTTACATTCTAGATACATGTGTACACTAAGATTTAAGTAGACTTAACCGTTCAAACCGGAGTGCATGTGGTGTTATTGTTTCACAATTCCCTGTGATACTATCAACAAGTGTTAATGAAAATCCATCAAATCAAAAACTTGTATTCTAACTAAATAGAGAATGAGTGTCACTTAAGTGGTCTACAGGAATGATAAAGATAAGCTGCATGAGTCTACCGAGATAATTATACCACGGATAACTAAACTGTGATAGACTAATAAAAGTTTTACTAACCTACTAATGATACACAGCTTCACGAATGTATATATAATATAGGCAATTCTTAATAACAATAAAATCTATTGTGCCTCGATTCAAAATAGACAACAGAAAAAAAAAGAAACACGTACACTTTCGGATAATTAAAGTGGAATGTTAAAATACACAAATACGTTAGACTTCACTAATTGTAGTCATTAATCATTTGTTTTATATCAGCCGTGGTCTTTCATCTAAATGAAAAACTTGAATATGTTTTTATTTTTCTTATATATGGACAACCCATTTGAAATCATTCAGTCCCGATTTCAACATACATAGTTTTCCCCGCTTTCTTTGTATAAGGTCAAGGTAAGGATTTAACATTTTACCACAAATTAAATACCGAAACCAGTAATTGTCACTTTGACATTTTTGGTTCTATGTTGTTCCTTCCAAAAGGAGAATGGTATTTAGGATTCCTTAGCAATGTTCACGCCCGTCAAGTTGATCCTTTATTTCTTTACCGTAAACAGGTGAAGCAGAGAAATAGGTTAATGGACTTCAAAACATTATAAAATCAAAGACGGACTATCCAAAGGAATGTTCAAACGTGATATCTATTTACTATTATGCGCATTTGATATTATCATATAAATGCAATAATTTGCAGATTCGTTTGATTAAAGCAAATATCAAAATCTGTCCGGTCATCCGTAAGGATAGAGGTGAGGATTGGCGATGTAGTTATGCTATCCCTTGAAGCTTCGATGATCAAAACATAAAATAACATCGTCTAATTTTATCTTATTCAAATCTATATTAGATAAAGAGAAAGGAAAATATTAAGTTTTTAGAAAAAATGAAACCTTGAAAATTCGTCACACATTGGGAAATCATGATTTTGTTGGATTTTGTCGGAAAAGTCAGGGTTTGATATTGAAGACGTAGGAAATCGCTACCGATGATATATATCCTTCATTTGTACATATTAATACTATATCTAACTTAGACCTATTATGTACTTTATTCATTAGTGTAGGGGGAATGCACTCTTGACATATGTGCACTTAAAAGGGTTCAAAAATGATGGGAAAAAATTACGCAGTGCCAAGTCGCAAAAACATTTTGTAACATCTCTAGTTTCGTAACTGATTTAAATGATTTCAACGGTGAAAATCTCTTTACATAACGTGTCTAATGCCTTAAAATTTTATAATGTTCTTGATTTAGGAGCTGCAATATCCTGTAAATCGGGGGGTTTAATTTTCTATCGATTAAGATTAAACGGGTTTTGGACGAGCAAACGAATGTACTATTATCATTCCAATGCATTTTAAAGGAACGTTATTGTCAGAAGATTTAGGGTTTAGTCTAGTGTGTTACTGGTACATGTAAACTATGACAGTTTTGATGATATTAAGACAAATAGAGCCAATAGATCACCACTTTATTGAGAAGCATTAAAATATGCTGACTCGTAATACAACATATCACTAGAATTTCATTGTCTTTTGTTTTTCGAATATTTACTAAGATGAATGTATTCGCATTGTTATTTTTAATATGCTAGCGATGCTTTGATAAGTGTAAAAATTGAGATCTCAATTTTGTATGAAATATTTTTCCACGAAAATCCGTTAACATTTACAGAAAAAGATATTTCATTACATGATATTCATATATCAACAATATATTAATATATATATTGTACGTAAATTTTCCTAGCAGGTAGATACTAAACTTTACAGTAAGTCTCAATACACGACGTTTTAGACAGTTTTCAAATTCTTGTATGTTGCAAATGGTTATATATTATTAAGTAAGACATTTGAGAATTAATTTAAATTGATTAATAAAATTAGACTAACAATACACAAACATAATGAGTTGTTCAAGTCTCATGTCATCTGTAAAATTTCTTATTTTGTAATGTCCCGGTTCAAGCTGTCTATACTTTCTACAACTAACTACTCATCAACGAAATCCACAGTAAATGTTTATAGGACAGGAAAAAACAAATATGCATATTTTTCAATAAATACAAATCGTAAGTAATGAAGTGTAACTTGTCTTATAAAACTGTTAAAAACCATTATATCACCTTTACAGAAATAGAGCTTAATTTCGCCATTACCTTGGTGTAATTAAGAGAATATATATACGTTTAACGATACATGATGTCCTTTGCTTAAATTGTACTTTCGTTTACATTATTTTAAATATATTTGATATTACGCGCATGTATTCAAATTTATTACTAAACGTACAACATGCCCTATAAAAATGTAGATATACGAAAAACAGACAAACTTGCCTAAAATGTCGCCTACATATAACAAGCACTTGTTCATAAACGGCATTGCTTCAAATATTTAACTAATCATAGTTATTGAACCTCAATATTGAGGCCATCTGTCTATAAAGACCAATATTCTAAATACTGGATTTATAGACAGTTTGACTGTATTGTAATTTGTTTTCATTAGGATGATAATGTCTTGATAATAGGACATTATCATAACAATGCGTCAAAATAAATCAATAATAATAGGTCAAAATTATCAATGAAATAACAGTAAAAGTACGGACAAGCAAATTGTAATGTGATAGGCTCTTCTACATCAAACCTCTTATCTCGATCTTTTCCTACAACGAAACATACGTAGCTAGTTTTTCATCAAGTTGTATGCTAAGCGTGATGATTTCAATTTCCCTTTTGTGAATTTTCGATTTTTGGATAGCAACATTCTTGCGTCCAAAACCTATGGTGTTTACATGTCGCAGTTGATTCGATACTCAAGGGCCTGCTCTTATTGTCACGATTTTCATGCAAGAAGCCGTCAACTGACTGATGGACTCGTAACACAAGATTTCAAAAGATGCAGAATGATGGAAATTATGGGGAAGTTTTACGCTTGTCATAGTGATTACATTTGGAAATATTCTAAAGTTGTACGCTATTTGAAGTTGGGCGTGTTTGAATCTCGTTAATTTGGCAGTTGATATTTATAATATACCTAGATGTTATTCGAGAACTTGACATTATTTACTTGTAGTGACCAAACCTTACATGGAGGGTGTCATCTATGAAGCAGAAGACGCTTACTATTTCGCAGCACCTGACATTATTCTTCTTGTAATTTTTCAGAACTCTCCGAGAAGACCTTTCTTTTGTCAATAATTTCCCCTAGTTTTATAGAATCTGAGTTCGGATTATGATTATGTTGACATGTTGTTATTTTCTTGTTGTGTTTTGCTTGCATCTAGTCAATTTTAACTTAACATGCATCCATTGTCTTTTCAGTTTGATAATTTTATTTGTTTGCTTTCTTTCGACTTATGTATCAACAAAGTGGAAAATGATTTCTATAATCACACTTGTACGTACATTACACACTAGTAAACTAAATCTCTTTGTTTAAATATCCAGTCAACAATGTTTACGCACATACTATAATTTTAAATATGAAATGCCAAAATCGGAAATACACTATAATTATGCATAGGAGGGTTAAATAATATAAACAGTCACGCCCGTCAGTACAGTTATTTCGTGTTCCTAAAAGATATTTCTTAAATAGATTTTAAAACGAATTGTTGCGAACAATTCACATCCAGTTGAATGATTTAATATATTATATTTATCATTGTATATCACAAAGCGGGTTGTCTATGATGAATGTAGTTTTCTCTGCTGATTCATTTTGTAATGATATTATTACTAATAGTGTTAAACCTGTTTTATCTTCTTACATAAGTACAACTAATCACGCAATCATTTGCCCGAATATTCCTATATGATGAATGGTGATACAGCTTAAAGTACTGTTATATCTAACAAAAACATTATATCACATCTACTTAATGCACGATCCATTGATTTCCGTGCATCTAAGTAAAACATTCCACTCATAGATAATAATTAACCAATAGATTCACGAGTGCTTTGACTTAAAAATGTTATTCACTTGTGTGTGTTTTGTAAACCGTCTAATACAAAAAATGATTTATAAATATGCAGTACATTTAAAAGTCAAAAGTAAGAAATTGGATAGGGGATACAAATATTACTATGGAAAGTCTCAAGAATAGTAGTGCTAAACGATATTGATTGCTACTTTGATAAATCAAAGGGATGCCCTTTTATCCCTCTGCCAATTGATAAAAGAATCAGTATCTTCAGATAATGTACTGTCGACCTCCTTTGAATACTCCTGATTATTCATTCCTTTGGATCTAAATTTCTTTCGCATTTGATTTGCCATCGGACTTGTCGAATATACCTTGTCACGTGGTGATCTCCATTTATAACAGGAACATGAACAAACTGACAAGGAATCCTCAACGATTGGTCCGGTTGGCTGTTCCTGCAAGTTAGAGACTACTCCATTATTTCCGGTTATGACGTCACCTTCGAGATGAACTGCATTTCGGGCCGCAACTGCAGCCTCTCTTTCATCTCGAAGTTCATCTGCTGTATTCATCGTAAGAAACCGCAAAACCAGTAAATTCATGGCTGCCGAAATCACCGTCAGACCAAATAAGATAAACAGAATACTGAATACAAAATAATGGGGCTTACTCTGAACCATATTGTCTTGTTGAAGAGCTACAAAGTCTCCAAAACCTATTGTTGTCAATGTAATAAAACTATAGTAGAATGCATCTATATAAGCCCAGCCTTCGACGTGTGAAAACACTAAAGCACCACATGTGAGTATCATTGTAGATAAGTTCATTGTTATGAATATTAGGTCTGATTGGGACACTTCCGTGTTTCTCAGTCGGAAGCATTTCTTGATTTGTCGTAAGGCAAATGTCACAAAAGTATTAAGTCTCTCGCCGACACTTTGAAACATTATCATGCATAGTGGAATCCCTGCCAAAGCGTAAGACATACAGAAAAGCTTGCCTCCGACGGTCTTCGGTGTACTATGTCCATAACCTACAGTTGTGTAAATCAAAATTGGAAGGTTTTATCAACATTTTCAAGAGTTTTTGTCAACTGAAACAACGTACCAATGCAAAATGTTACAGCATCGACATTTATCACTGATCTTGGCCTATAGAGAATTTAAAACTCTTTTTCTGCGATACTTATAAGGTATATCATAATTCTTAACTTTGGTAAATGCTTAATATTCTGTTAATATTATCTAGGTTAAATTCAGTAACTTAAACCATGCTTATGCTCATTTTTCATAAATATACAAATGATATGATTATCTATATTATCATAATTTTCCTTTTTAGATAATTCCAGAACTCTCCAGACAATACTTACCAATAGCTGCAACAACCACTAATGACAGATACAGAGCACCTCCGAACTTCCATTGGGTGACCTCCTGGTATGGTCGGGACCAGATCACATTGTGCCGTATAGCGTTAAAATCTTTGTCTGAAATATTATACCTGGTAAGTATCTCGCCCTCCTCCTCCAAAAGCCGCCTTTTGTTTTCCACCTCGTACTCGGATTCCAGGGCGTCAAACACGGCCGCCCCTATCAGCAGATAGGTAAATGTACAGACAATTAAAGACAGGGTCCGGACGTTCTGTCGTTTCATCTCAGAAAGTTATATTAAATCAGAGACGTTGGTATAGTCTAATAACAAAGGACACGCTGCTGGAGTAGTTGAATTAGCAGCAGGTTCGGTGTGGCATGACCTACAGATCTAGACATTTTATGTTATTATAAGTAGTCTCCCATGTGTAAATATAGCAAACGTTTCAATTATCAACACCCGTTCAAATCGACGCCGCTAAATCCTTCCAAGAAACAAATAGACGAAAGTAAATGTATATATCGAACGTTATCAAGCATACTCTCTCGAGACATTATAACAAATTCACGTCGTTCATTTCAGTAGGAACGTAAACATTGAAATCCAAGATGGCGTCCCCGATGAATAGATGAGCAACGGTACTACTCCGCTTTGCGTCAGTAATCCATCTCGGCATTCCACAAAAACCTGTAATTATTCGTTTTCTGAAGAATGAATCACAGAAACCCTCAGCCAGAATTTAGAGTGATGGTTTAGCGCGGCGTGGTATGTGTGTACTATGTGTTAATTCTCCCCAAGGCTATCTGGTGCGCGATCAATACCGGAAGTGTGCGTGTTACTCAGTGTCACGATGGATTCCGTTAAAAACAATAAATGTCACGTTGTAACATTAGGTCCATAAGTATGCTTTGGTAAGGTGTACCGTTCGTAAGCAATGTGTATGAGCATCCCTTGTGTGTGTACTTGTGGGTGTCTTTGTTGTCTGGTCGTATCATTTATAAATAACTCCCACAAGGATTCACAAAGACATTGTTTAGATTGTTTAAACACGCATGTTGTGAACACACGTGAATCTCTAGTACGATCTACACAGGCCTGTGTCCTTGTTATACTCAACGATACATGGGATAGCCAGCACATAGATCTATTACATGACGTATCAGTATCGTTTTCATCAGCTCGTTTGCTTTCCAGTAAGATGCTTTAGAAATATTACTTATGAATTATTTATCATCACTCCGCCGAGATATGTTGCTTTTCATTTTAAATAATACAAAATGCATTATTGATAAAGATGAACCATTAAGGGACCTTGTTTTATGCAGAAAAGATGGGCGTGGTGATAAAAGCTTCATCATATTCCCGTTAGTTTATAAAATTTTACATGACATTGTGTAAGTAAACCTGTATACCTCGTGTGCTGTATGATGATATATAATTGGAAATATGAGCCCCCTTTTTTGTGTGTTTTATTTTCATAAGGATACAATGTACACACAACATTTCCTGATAAAAAAAAACAGTCACAGCTACCATTTGTAGTGATGCAGATATGTGTCATAACAAAACATGTAAATTTGTGTGTGATAATGAAATATCACAACATTTCCTGATAAAAAAAAAACAGACACAGCTACCATTTATAGTGATGCAGATATGTGTCATAACAAAACATGTAAATTTGTGTGTGATAATGAAATATTGATCTGAATAACAACGAAATATCTGTGAAAGCGAAATAGGTAAACATAGCTTCAAGTGTGAATTATTACAAAAAGGGCATCTCAATATATTTACAAATTTTATTATTACAATAAAAGTCACTTATATTTTTCTGAAAAAGAAGATTATTAAGATAAAATGTATATATTTGTATTTTACATATGTAATGTTAAGTGTTTAGATAAAACAAGATTATATGTACTTTACAAACGTTAATTATTGAAATAAAAAGGCATCTGTATGTGTTGTTGATGTCGTAGTTATATTTCAAATAAACAAAATGATATTTGCATACAACAGCTGAATCCATGGCAACGCACGTGCACATCCCGTGATTGGGTTTGATTTGAAATGCTTAATATCTAAGGATAACTTCATGTATAGTGGAATACCTACACGATATATGATACTATGTTGTCCTAATAAAACACGCACCCATCCAAGATGGCACGACAGAAATAGTCATTGTAGAAATTTACAAACTCTTACCTAAAATTCAATAGGACAAAAACACTGAAAGAAAATCATAACAAAACTCACACGGGACTGAAGATAATATAGGACGTAAAAAATAAGATAACATATGCTCAATTTAGAGTGACCCAATCCGTCAAACGGCTGTTGAGGCGAAATTATACAAGCACATTGAACATCAATATTACAGCTTCCTGTCCCATCTGTTATGATTCCATGAGACAATGTGATGAACATTCGGGCATGGCTATAAATAACTCTGTGGTCCAGAACCGGATGTGGTCAACTAGATACTTCGTACTTTTGTCTGACAGCCGGTTCTAGAGGTTAGATAAAAGTCAACTTAAACAGACCTCGAAACTAAAAGGAGAACATGAGCGTTACTATGACTACAGAGACGGAAACATGGTATACGGTATGGCAAATTGTAATAAAACTGACAGTCAGAATATCAGCTGTGGAAAACACTTGATTTGATAGGGACAATTCACAACGGTTAAGAGATAGTCGGACTGGACTGAATGAATGAAGCTTTAAGTTTTAATCTCTATGGAAACGAAATTCGAATCGTATTCCAAGTTGACATGAACTCGACTCCAAATAGAAAATATTGCATCAGTGTGTATATTAAACATCCAGATACATGGCGCTAATCTCACATTAGATCGATCTGACACCTCGGCAGCTGGCCCCATGCGAGGACCGTGAATCCCTTTGTTTGTTTTCTTAGGACAGATCGATGGGGATTTATACCGTACATGTGTGTCGTCTGCTACACGGTGTATGTTAATCATGTATTTATAAATGGCGGGAATTACAGTTGTGAACATTCATTACTTGTAAATATATATAGTGTAAAAAAAAAATGTAATTCGCATGAAGATTCAATGGAAATGTTAAAAAATATGGACCTACATTTGCATAAATGTATACGTCAGTCAAGAAAAACCGCCTTTGAACATTCGGCGTGTTAAACATTTGGAGACATCTAATTAATATTTATGCCTGAAATTTTTCACTGGGGATATGACGTCATATCCACAGGACACACTCGCTACCTTCTGTCAGTACACCACCATCATCATTAGAATCAGCCTCCTTCTGACATTCGGAGATGACTGACCTAGATTCAGGTGGCTGCTGTCTTTTTGGTCTGATCTTAGTATCCTTATTGTTAAAGGAAGTCAGCAAAGAGAAGCATACAGACCGTTCCCATGGTAACGCTAATATGCAGTCACTTAAAAGATATTTTAATTAAACATTAGAGGATACCTCAAACAGAAATTTAGACGTCTTCAAGATCTCATTCCGGTTGTTAGGCAAAACGTACTCAGTACGTACAGCCTATTGCGACGGCCTTTCAGACAAAATTTACCGATCCTGGCCTTCTCATTGGCTGAAATATCGAAAAGAGTTAGAGCCCTCTATTGGCAATTTTCTGCATAAATAATGACGCGATCTTTTAAATCGCTATTTTAAAAGCATCCACAATAAGTTTATTTTTTTTTAAAATAACATTACGATTACTATATATTTCATAAAAGAAGCACAGTGTGGTTGAACTATTTATAAATTTTGAACAATATATTTTACGGAATTTGCTCACGGACATCCCCGACCTGTGCTGTTGAAGAAGATCGAGCTGACGTGGTTCCTATCGCTTGCTGTGAATATTCCTAGAAAACAACCATATTAACCGTAAGCAGAGATAAGTCTCTTCCGTAAGTAAACAAAAAAAAATGGTTTATTGTATCTTCAAAGTTTATTGTAACTGCGTGACTTGATTTACAGTGTATATAGTGTATGGCGGCTTATGAATCCTTCTCGACATGACGTAAGCGTACAGAACACTGTACGTGAGAGTTGGCACCATGATAAGAAGCTAGTCTGGGGGCTTGGTTTGAATTATCAACTAACAGCACTTATAAACAAACAACTTACAAACAGAACATCAATTTTGCTTTAATCCTTGTCGTTGTGGCAAGATCGTCTTAATATATAACATCATTTTACCTCATTAGACGTCACAAAATTTGACTGTTCGTCCGCGCGCATACCCGCCAATATGACACTTTTTCATGTTTTTGTAGATAAAATGTTTGCGCTTCGTAGGCAAGGTACATTTGGTGCTCATGATTTATGAATAAAATATTTTAATACTGTACTGATCATGATGTTGACTTTGTTATAACTTATATTTTTTGTCTTTTAGTTTTATTTGATGAAGGTTGATTGTGCTGATATCTCTAGGTTTGTTAATGTGTATCAAAGTTCCTTGAAATGAAAATATTCCTTCAAACAAAGCGCGTATAAAAAACCCCAAAATATTCATGTTTATAATTATCAATTAACTAGGATGAAATATTTCCATAACATATTTATTCATTTTGCTTGTCATGGTGGCATTACCTAATGCATTGCAGATCAGTAATAGTAGTAGCTATAGTGAAAATATTAAAAATTTTGTATATATATGGAAGTCTACTTTAATCTCATAGAACTATACTTTATAGACATAATTACTGAAAGAAAAGTCTAACCATGATACTTCAAGGAAGATAGGCATTACATTTAATGTAATTATTTACACTTTTATCTATCTGAAATGCTGTGTACACCTTATCTACTTTCCTCAACTACAAATATAATTATAATAAGTAAGGATTATTACTTTGCAATACATTCAAAATAAAGAAGTAGGTCAAAAGTCCTTTCGATCTGTCTAAATCCTCATATTGATAGGATAGTAATTCAACATCTTGGGGATTTCAAAGGTTTTATTTAGTCAACTTCATCATAGAGCTATTTATCATTTGGCTTGTTGGCGATGAATATTTTGTTATTTTATTTTTTTTACCTATTTTGATTTGTTCACATTATTGTCGTCAAATTTGAAATAAGAATTAAAGAAGATATAAAATCGCGTAAAAATTAAGAAAAATAACCTCTGGTTCTCTTATTTTAGTAATTTATGCATTCCAAAGTGGAGGAGTATGGGGAAAGTAATATAGCTTTGCGGTTATTTGTGAACATTTTTCAATACGTTTAGCCTCTCAGTACTTTCAGTACTTTGATTTTTGTTTTTG